GTTGTTTTGTATAAGGAACAGTTGATGGTTCTTCACTACCACTTCCTTCAGTGGTTCCTTCAGTAGTAAGTGTAGTTGTTGACTCTGCAGTTAGTGTAGTTGTTGGCTTAGTAGTTACTGTTTCAGCTTTAGTTGATTGTTCTTCACTTCCTTCAGTGGTTCCTTCAGTAGATAGTGTAGTTGTTGGCTTAGTGGTTATTATTTCAGCTGTAGTTTGTTGTTTTGTATAAGGAATAGTTGATTGTTCTTCACTGCCACTTCCTTCAGTGGTTCCTTCAGTAGTTAGTGTAGTTGTTGGCTTTACAGTTAGTGTAGTTGTTGGCATAATAGTTACTGTTTCAGCTGTAGTTGATTGTTCTTCACTTCCTTCAGTGGTTCCTTCAGTAGTTAGTGTAGTTGTTGGCTTAGTGGTTAATATTTCAGCTGTCGTTTGTTGTTTTGTATATGGAACAGTTGATTGTTCTTCACTGCCACTTCCTTCAGTGGTTCTTTCAGTAGTTAGTGTAGTTGTTGGCTTTGTAGTTAGTGTAGTTGTTGGCTTAGTGGTTATTATTTCAGCTGTCGTTTGTTGTTTTGTATATGGAACAGTTGATTGTTCTTCACTGCCACTTCCTTCAGTGGTTCTTTCAGTAGTTAGTGTAGTTGATGGCTTAGTAATTACTGTTTCAGCTGTAGTTGATTGTTCTCCACTTACTTCAGTGGTTCCTTCAGTAGTTATTGTAGTTGTTGGTTCTGCAGTCAGTGTAGTTGTTGGCTTAGTAGTTACTGTTTCAGCTGTAGTTTGTTGTTTTGTATAAGGAACAGTTGATTGTTCTTCATTGCCACTTCCTTCAGTGGTTCCTTCAGTAGTCATAGTTGTTGTTGGCTTAGTAGTTATTATTTCTGTTGTAGTTTGTTGTTTTGTATAAGGAACAGTTGATTGTTCTTCATTGCCACTTCCTTCAGTGGTTCCTTCAGTAGTCATAGTTGTTGTTGGCTTAGTAGTTATTATTTCTGCTGTAGTTTGTTGTTTTGTAGAAGGAACAGTTGATTGTTCTCCACTGCCACTTCTCTCAGTTGTAGTAAATATAGTTTTTGGCATAGTAGTTTCAGTTGGTAGTGATTTTGTGGAGCTTGCAGTTGTTATTGTTTGTGGGTATGGGGTGGTAGATGATGGGCATTCTGTAACACACTCGTTCCCATCCCAATACTGATCTGCAGGACAATTACAACCTTCAACACAGCTGTCATCACAGTGACCATAGAGGTGTGTGTAGAGTAATCCAGCACATGTATCGTTACATGGCGATATGCACGAGTCGTACTGCAAGCACTCATCACACATTATTGCTACAAGAAAACAAATTTTAGAAGTTAAACTTTAGAGAGTTTTCAGCATGTCCTAGGTTATGTAATGTATGACGTTTTGCTGATTTAGTTGCATAAAGGTTGGAGTTTGCAGAGGAGTGTATATGTGTACACACTGATTTGTAAATATTGGTTTGTAAGCAAGCCATTCACACATTACCCAGGCTTACAATCAAACCACTGATTTGTAAATACTGGTTTGTAAGCAAGCCATTCAAACATTAACCTGGCTTACAAACAAACTACTGATTTGTAAATACTGGTTTGTAAGCAAGCCATTCAAACATTAACCAGGCTTACAATCAAACCACTGATTTGTAAATACTGGTTTGTAAACATGCAATCCAAACATTACTCAGGCTTACAAACAAACCACTGATTTATAAATACTAGTTTGTAAACAAGCAATTCAAACATTACCCAGGTCTACAAACAAACCACTGATTTGTAAATACTAATTTGTAAGCAAGCCATTCAAACATTACACAGGCTTACAAACAAACCACTGATTTGTAATTACTGGTTTGTAAACAAGCAATTCAAACATTACTCAGGCTTACAAACAGACCACTGATTTATAAATACTAGTTTTTTTGTAAACAAGCAATTCAAACATTACTAAGGCTTACAAACAAACCACTGATTTATAAATACTAGTTTGTAAGCAAGCCATTCAAACATTACCCAGGACTACAAACAAACCACTGATTTGTAAATACTGGTTTGTAAACAAGCAATTCAAACATTGCACAGGCTTACAAACAAACCACTGATTTGTAAATACTGGTTTGTAAACAAGCAATTCAAACATTACTCAGGCTTACAAACTAACCACTGTTTTATAAATACTAGTTTGTAAGCAAGCCATTCAAACATTACCCAGGTTTACAAACAAACCATTGATATGTAAATACTAATTTGTAAGCAAGCCATTCCAACACTATCCAGGCATACAAACACACGACTGATTTGTAAATACTGGTTTGTAAGCAAACCATTCAAACATTACCCAGGCTTACAAACAAACCACTGATTTGTTAATACTTGTTGAGAATCAACAACTTGCATGTTTAGGGCAGGCACTATAAATATATATTACAGGAATTTTATAAATAGATTGTTTTAATTGTATTTACTAGTGACGACTTTGCAAGGCTTCAATCTTGAGGCACATCCCTAGTAATCACGTGATTATGCTAAAGACTGCAGTGATTGGCTAATCGCATGTTTACTCTGCCACGCCTTAGAGATTTGTGATAGTGTTTGTAATAGAAGGAGAGAAGTGGGCAGCAAAGCGTTACCTCAGCTGACCGTTTAAATGAAGAAAGCTGGACTATCTGTATGAACTAATGTGTATTAGTCCAGTCATTCTAGCAAAAAAAGGGGGGGCAACCCGTCACAAATTGCAACAGAAATAAATTGTTGACAGTACTAAAGGTATCTAGATAGACATACTAAAGTCTAGAAAAATCTAGGCATTCGAAATATACCTAATTTGCATATATTCAAAACGGCCGTTTTGCACATTTTTACAACATGGAAATATAACTATTTGAACATATCTTTAATTCTAGATGCGATATTTTAAAGCTTCATTATGGTATGGTACTGTTTTGAGTCGGAGAAGGTATGAGAGTGCCAAATGTGATGATTGGGTAAATGAAAATTAGCGTAAATCCAATATAGCCCCGATAATATAATTATTTAATGTAACTTCTCTTCTGGCTTCTCTTCTATGTGGCATATGTAATAAGTTTAAGATCCTAGAATACAATTTTAAACAGAATCATACAGTACAGAAAAGATGTAAATAAATGGTTTCCTGGGTGGACGGATGCTTCATCTGCATAAATCCAACATGGCCATCACATCTAAAAGAACAACTAGAGGAATAGAACACCTTGGTTGGATCTACAAATCGCTATACTATATACATAATAGACCATTTAAACGTAAATTTTCAACTCTATAAACTATATTTTTGATTTAAAAAACTGTATTGAATAGTTATAATTTTGTCCAAAAGTTTATTGTTTGATTAATGTAATTGCTAATCATCATCGCTATCTTCATCATATATCTGAACTACATTTGTGCATCCAGATCCTCGAAATTGACCACAAACTGCAGAACATTCAAAGTTGTGCTTTCTGCAGGTACATCTGAGACTGGAGCGGTTGCATCTCACTATCCTCAATAGAAATTCAGGTGCTGCCTCCTTGTCAGCCATTACAGGAATGATGATCGTTTGTGGAACGGGTCCTTGGATTTGCTTCCTGGCGAGAAACCAGATTCGTGTCTTTGCGAGGCCTGTAGAAGTCGACAGGTTCCGACTCTGCCTCCCATCAAACATATGCCCATCCCCCTTGTCGCTAGCGAAAGCATCAAATCTGCTTCCCCTGCGAGCTGGGTAGGCGCCCCTGAGGAAAAGGGGGCTCGCTTCTTCCTGGGGGCACGTCACCACTCTTCTCTCCCCCGAAAGAGCTGGGATGCTTGCCTCCTGGCTACTTCTGGCCATTGGTTGCCCACTTTGGTCATTATGTTTTCTCAGCTTGGGGTCCATACTGCTTGCCCTTTGCAGAAGCCAAACTGGCTTGCGGGTCTCACCTGTACCAACCGGTCAGTGGGGTCCCGAAGCACCGAGACTGCTCCTTCCATCCTCAAAATAGAAGAAGGTGGGGGAGGTCCAGTCTGCGTAACTGAGGTGGTGGTGCACCCAGTGAAAACAGCCAAAACCACATTCCGCTGTACATAGGCAGCCCCTGCCACAAGAGCCAGATGACACTGCAGGCTATCCCGCTTAGCCGTGTGGTGTCCCACCAGTGGCTGTGTCTGTTGGTCTAGGAGGCTGGTGCGTTCCGCCATTAAGACTTCAGAGTGCTGGCGGCGCAAAACAATTTGTTCCAGTGGGCAGGCTACAGCTCGAAGGTTGAGGGTCGCCACTCAGCTCTCAGTGCGTGGGTTGTTTCCAACTAACCGGTCAAAATATTCCACGAGCACGGTCACCCCCTTTGCCTGTCCCATCAAACCAAAAAAATTTGTGGTACCGGGGTCGGGGGAGGAACGGAAGGATCCGATCGGGCGCAAGATTTGATTCCAGACTCTACTTGCTCCGTTTTCAAACACTGCTTGATCCAGTGGAAAAAGATGAGCATAAAATTGACCTACCCTAAAGACTTAGGCCTCTATCCCATGGGGGACCAAGGTCCGCCCATCAACACCGTCTGTCCGTTCCCCTCTACGTCCAGCACTCTGCAGGATCCAAAGCAATACAGAATTCAGGACTCTGGATCCCGGAAGTGACAGTCCTTCCGAGAGTGACTGTTTCAGCATCGAGGGGGGGGGTGAAAATCGAGTCACTATAATCGACCCCCCTCACCCGAAGGTGTGGCTCACACAGTCACTATGAGGAACAGACTCCAAGGGGCCGCTCGAGGTTGCACATTTCAATGATACAATTTTGACGGCCATATTGGATTTATGCAAATGATTGCTATTCAATCAAATGTTTCACATACATTCACACACACCAAACCATATCGCAGCAACTTGAATATCTAAAAAATGTCATCTAGTATTAAAGCTATGTCCTAATAGTTATATTTTCCATGTTGTAAAAATGCACCAAACCGCCATTTTGAATATATGCAAATTAGGTATATTTCGGAAGCCTAGATTTTTCTAGACTTTCAGTATGGCAATCTAGGCACCTCCCCGGAATGTATTGTGAAGAAATTATTTCTGTTGTAATTTGTGATGGGTCAAACCATACATTGACTTTGGTTTGAATTTGATATCACTATGTCTGAGTGTTATGTGTTAAGCGAGTCAAGTTCCTCAAACACAAAGCCAGTGTTCAGAACACATGGAAAACCCCGGGCAGGTTTGTACTGTAACTCCGGTACACAACGCCAGTGTTTACAACAAATGGGTTGTTCTCTAACTTAAAACACACAAAAGCATTAACTATTTAAAATACCCTTGATTGCAAATTACATGTTAAGGTATCTAGAAATGTTTGATGACGTTTTTGAATAAAGCATTCTCTGTCTGTTGTCTCATTCAGAACCGTAATGTATCGTCGTATATGTTTCAAAGGCCTAGTTATAGAAGACCAAGTTCGCACAAATTGGACACAAGTAGGTGCCGACTTATTGTTGGCTCCACCAACCCGTGCGAGATCAGCCTGGGTAAACCCGTATTTTATGTTAAACAAATGGCAAAGTTTGATTGGATGCGCCTGTTGGAAAGGCGCCCAATCAGGCGCTGTGTAACATTGCGCGGTAAGCTAAAGAACACAATATCGGAAATGGCGACGGGCAGCACGGTTACTTCCAGGTTACTTCAAAATTCTTCTAGTAACCGTAATTCTTCTAGTTTAGTAATTCTAGTAATTCTTCTAGTTTAGGTTGTTTGCCAAATCCCCAAAACCGGCGCTGCATTTTTTCACTAAGTTAGTCCACATTTTTTATGCCAACGTTGCACGCTGTTTGTGGCATACTTGGTCAGCAAAGTGACAAATATTTCTGTCGATCATGTTTTAACAAAGTAATGAAACTGTCAACTGTGAAAGAAAATCTCAGAATCTCTACTCGACTGATCATGCAAGAGTTGAACTGTTGTTTTCGTGATTTGCCACTCCCTGACCGTCGCAATTTAAAAAACCGCTGTGCTGTATTTTGATACAAGATAGCTAATTGGTTGTTTATATTTGTCGCATCTCCCCTACTTGTCGTTAAGGGCGCCTATTAAATACACACTGTAGTGGTTCAATCTGCCAAGGATTGGAGGGGTGACCCGAAACAAACATTCCTCAGCTGGCCAAGATGCTGTGCTAGTCGCTGGTATAAATATACTTCTCAAGGCGCGTAAACAAACACGAATCTGAAACTTTTGATAAAACGGACACAATGGCCATCGGTCTATAATTTTCTTTTGACGATACATATTTAGATTTTTCTAAGACGATAGGAACAATAAGTGCATTCGTCGAACTACCAGGCAGTTTCCCGTGCTCAATGAATGAATGTTTTATGTTTGCACCAAATTTGATTGAACAGTTGTCTATACACAACTGAGATCAGCTTCCGGAATGGCAGGAATGCTTGATTTCTATGATCATTTAAGAGTAAAATGGCCGCCATTCAGCAATCTTGAATGGAATTGTCCAATATGCATGTGTGTGACATAATGTATACATAAAGTTTGGTCAAGGTCAAAGCATGTCAGAAATATGGTTCTGAACAGTTTTTGTTAAAACAAACTGACCGCTAATCGTTCATTTTGAATCCGATTTGAGATGTTTTAGAAGGTAAATGTGCGTCAAGGTTTCACAATGTCTGACGTGTGTGCCAACTTTGAACAAAATCCATCAATACATGACAGCGATCTGGCTCCAGAATGGCAGCAATTCTTGATTTTAGTGAACTTTCGAGTTTGGTTGTTCTGTTCAAGGCATGTCAGAGATATGACCCAGGAAAAGAATTCATTTCAACAAAATGGCAACCAGTCGGCCATTTGAATCCGATCGAAAATTTAAAATGACATGATTTTGATGAATTGTGAGCACAATAAGGCCAGCATGCGGCCATTTTGAATCGGATCATGAAACGAATGGGCGTGCATATGTACCCTAAGATGAGTGATGCATGTGTTGAATTTGAATGTAATCAGACCAGGCATGCTCGAGACACACGCACGCACGCACACACGTACGGATGTCAAAACATACGTCCCATTTTTCGAACTGCGTCAGAACAGAAAATAAATATGACCATACATGACTCATAGCCGCCATTCCAGCATGTCTGAGACGCATGTACGGGCGGACAGACAGATGTGAAAATATAAGTGTTCATTTTCGGACTACGTCCGAACAAATTAGATTGTATTCTTCCTAGTTGCAAAGAGCCACCACACATTACATTGGTTTATAAGCAGCTCAAATACAAACACAGAAGACATTGCTGGGTATTGATTATAAGTATGCTTCACATGTGGATTGTGCTCACTATTTCCGAAACATCTAGCATTACACGATGTATCGTAGTGTATTGTACTCAGATGTACCCGTCAGGTGTTTTGTTTTATTCTTATGGATTGTTTTGTTGGATTTCATTGTACTTTTTCCAGTCATTTGTTCTGTGTTAATTCTAATCGGCCGGCTCTGATGTTGATTTTTTTTTTATTTTATGCGTATTATTCGTCACTAATGCAGAACTGATAAGATGAAATATTACAAGTTTTATACATCACTCTTTTCGCGAAGATCTCACTTTTTTATTGCGCTTCGTATCATCGATCCTACCGTGGCACTCTGAATTCAGACTCAACAGCTATTTATTAAATAATAATAATGTAATAATTTCTATGAAGACTTAATAATGGATCATAATAAAAATGTCATGAGTGATAAATTATCTAGACGGCCGTGATTCATCAGTTCGGGCTAAATAAATCTGTTACGGCCCGTATCACAATAACGAGTCTCATTCTCAGCATTGCTTTCACAAGTGTTATATATATATATATACACGTATGTTATATATATATGTACACACATGTATGAAAAAAAACGTTAACGTATTTTAGCCTATGGGATTCGAGATCGACTGAATTAAATATGACAGGTTGATTCTTGTCCATGCATGTGCTTGTGAAAACACGATACAAGATTAAGGTAGATATGCAGGTTCGCGGGCACTTTGGAGTGATTTTTTTTTTTTTTTTGCTTTTTATTATCCAAACAGTCTTGGCTATAGACTGTTAAATATTTGTAGAATTGTGAATAGTGGAAGATACTCAAAAACGAGTAAAATATAGATAACAGGTGCAAACATTATCTCCTTTGAATACTTAGCAAGATTTAGCAAGGCTATACATAAACACATGTAATAAAATAGAACACGATAATACATTTTAATTTGGAACCGTTACAGCCATTTTAATTATGAGCAATTAGCAAACTTCTTACTGAGTGGACTGTTATGCAAATTAGCAATTATCTCAGCTTCTTTTTAGTGCACATCCCAGGATTTAAAAAAAAGCTCCTAGACGCTTTGACCTTTTGTTTTGAAATTTTCACAAATGATTGACAATGTGTTTATCTTCAAAACGCCGTCGGGACATTGTTTTTGGTTGAACAGTGTTACAGCAATCGTACAGACAACTAGCCTGGGTGTTAATTTATGCATAAACTTGAAATAATGAAATTTGAGCAGCTGCCCTGCAAAATTGACAACTGGTAGACAGTTTTCAAGACGGCACTTTCTTCATAGTAAACCGATGTACCCGTAAACAAATTTTGACAGGAAACAGAAGCATGGTTTAGAAGCTAATTTTTCTTAAATCACTTTTGACCAAAAAAGCACATTTTTGTGCATATTTCAAATATATAGTTTTGTGGACAAAGGAGATCATCTTGGTTTCCCAATTAACTAATTAAAATACCTGTCAGGTACTAGTAAACTGCATCTCTACCTTAAATACTGCAACACAACTTTAGCTGAAAACAATCGGAATTATAAGGTTATTGTACTTACGACAGAGTTCCTGTGATCTCCATTTGATAGGATTACCATGGCGACTACATTCATTTGCATACGCTGCTATAGCCGTACACATACATTCACAATCACCTCCCATATCACATCCACATGCATCGTATAAACATCGATTCAGATACGGTTGTAATGGCACAACACTGTGGCACGGCTTAAATAGATCCGATTTTATAACACTGCAACCCTTCATGGCCCAAGTCTTGCGTTCAGGATGTATCGCACACGTATCTTCAATGTTGGGAGCATCCGGACAAAAGTCATGAAGCTAGTGAAAGGAACGAGTGTCACTATACAATATACTTGGTTGCTGGTAGGCGTTATGGTAGAGTAAAACACAATGAATGATTCAAAGAAGTTATATAAGTAACATATCGAGACACACAGACGGATATAATGTTCAAGACAAAGAATTTATTATTATTTTTATTTCAATGCTTCACTGTCAGATTATACGTACCTTCCAACTGTTACCGAATGCAATAGGACTTTCAAAGGGGAACCCGCCACCTGGGGGCGTGAAATCGTCTTTCTGTTTACTGTTAAAATTACCACACAATCCTTCAACCTAGAGCATAAGAATAAAGTAAACAATTGACTATATAAAGTATGAAAACACTGTAATGTAATATATTTTTACTATACTCGTACATTTATGAGTGCCACTCAATTTTTTAATCAATATAAACTTTAAACAAATACTGCATCACAATGTTATCACCGTACCTTTGAACGATGTTCGCCCTCTAGAGTAATGTACACCGTAGTGCCTCGATCCCACTTTACGACAAGACCAATATTGGTGAAAACAACTGTAAATATTGTCATTTCGACTATCTGGACAGGTGGACCATTCTGTGACGTCACTTGTGGTTTTTGTCCTCTGATTAACTTAACTGTAGTTCGTGCATTGATTTTTCCTATATGATGGCGAAGTAAATATATGACTTGCGCGTTTGAATATCACTATGTCCCTATGTCACTGTGAAATTCTGAACAAGTTGAATTAATTTGGATCGTTTGTCTGTATGTTCGAGACCGTGATTATGAACTCTGTTATTGCTTTGTTGGATTTCATTGTACTTTTTGGCTGTTTTCCACTCATTTGTTTTTTGTTAACTCTAATTGCCCGGCTCTGATGTTGATTTGTTTTTATTTTATGCGTGTTATTTGTCATTAATAGAGAGCTGATAAGATGAAATGTCACAAATGGTATACATCACTTTTCTCGCAATATCTCACTTTTGTATTGTGCCTCATACCATCGCATCTACCTTGGCACTCTCAATTCAGACTCTATTAAGTCTAAATAATAATGTAATAATTTCTATGAAGACCTAATAATGGATCATAATAAGAATTTTATGAGGAATTGTCTAGACGGCCGTGATTCATCTGTTCGGGCTGTATAAATCTTTCACGGCCCGAATCACAATAACATGTCTCATTCACAAGTGTTATGTATATTTTGCTGGTTTGTCTGTATGTTCGTGACCGTGATTATTATGAACTCCGAATAAGCCTACACTATGCTAACGTTACCGGACATAACATCACACTCACCCACTCAGACAAATTGGTATATTTCCAGCTTGTTTTTTACTGCAACAATGTCATGAAATTGTGGGATTAATATTTATACTAGACCAGAATAAAAAAAAACATTCCAAAATGTATTTGCACCGAGTCTGTTACATATGTATGTCCAAATTCGTTCAATATCAATCATTATCAATGTAGAGTTTCTTCTAAAAGAAAAAAAAAATGAAACAAACATAAGAACTCACCAATTTTAATGAAGATATCCTTAGTACACGCCACTTCACTTGTACCACACTTGATATTCTTCGCTGATATACTATATTTCTCAGAATTATCAGAAGTTGACTGTGACAGTATGTAATCACATTCTCCCTGAAAGTCGTAGCTTACACCGTCAAATGTGTTATAGTGAGGATCACCGTACACACAACACACGCCTGGTATATTCAGATAGAAAGTATATATTTGTGAAAGAAATATTGATAAGATAATATGTGTGTTACAATCGTGCTGGATATGAATGTTACTTACCACTGCAATCCAGTTCTTCACAAGACCACGTTCCACCGAGACAAACACTTGAGTATAAGAATAAAGATATAAATACTTAAACAAATATGGGAGCGTTAAACATTAACACTTTCTGCAAAGGTGTTGCCCAATAACACTTTCACCTTTGTTGAACAAGTGGACATGTAGTGCGGGAGATATTTTAGATGTATTCGAGCAATGTGTTTTGAAACTTTCTTTATAAAGGTTGAATTAAAAGTTTAAAGTTTTGAGTATTCATATCTGAACAAAATAAAATATCTAATAATGGATAATCTAAATGGGCGGGGGACCTGTTTTATATATTTTTAAAACACAATTTAAACTATTTCCTATCCTATGTGTTATTACTGGAAGTTGGTATATATACAAGAATTAAATTAATTGTATTGGTCCACAATTTTGTTTATAAATATCAATCATGAGACCATTACCAAATATACAATAATTTTGTTTTAAGCTATCTGATATATATTTGTGTTTTATCAAAATAAAATTCTCTTGAAGATTTTGAAGTATTATGTACATCCAGAATGATTATATACATCGATCTTTACGTACATTTACCATTACTTTTGAGTGAAACATGTGAAAAATGTTACGAATGTCAAAGTGAAAGGAGTAATAACATAATATAACATAAACGCATAATATACTTACCATCTTTGACAGTCACTTTTCATTTCACTATTGGCAGAATATATATCACCTCCATGCTTACAAGGGCAATCTGCTGGTTCCACGCACCCATCATGTGATAATACAAACCCCTCTGCACATTCACACCCTGCTTCACATATTGCCGAGCTGCACCCGACATTATGTAGCATATTTTCACAAGTCGGTGGGCATGCAGACATACAGTCGGTGTATACTTGGTTTATGCCACACGCTATTGGCGGGCATTCAGTATCAGCACAGTCCCATACACCACTGGAGCATGTGCTGAAATTAAACATGTTATAACACATAGTAGTGCATAATCAAATGTGATTATTTCTACAATTACTAAACAAGCAATGTAATCGTTTCAACGGAATTTGAAACATGCCTCAAATAACAAATTTTTCACTGGCCGAGGACATGTGTGCATTCGCCTAATTGTGCAATCCCGAGTATTATGCCTGACTTTGGCGGGGTTGTTATAACAAAATAATTTCACTAATACTAAAATACAAAAACAACCAAATCAGAGGGAGTAAACTGGAACAAAGCCTCCGAGGCATGCCATGGCTTGTATAAGTTAAAAAATGGTCTTGTCGAATCACAATAATTCTTGCAATTATACAAATACATGTACTTATTTAATACATGTTATCTCATATATCAGGATGTAATAATTCAATATGTATCAATACATAATAACAATTCCCCCAATCTGTTTTGTCTTTAAAAATTGCCATGTCATGTGGGTTATATAAGGAGCCCGTGTGCCAGGTTTGCAAGCACGGAAGTGACTGTTATGTGGCTGTATAAAACACAATGTCTAGATGTTTATTTTTGTTTAGGAGATACAAGTGATGTTTATTCGTTCTCGAATGCGTGAATAAGCAATCATAAATAGTTTATCGGTATGGCTTCTGTTATGACAGACAATATACCACTATATGCTCTCCCCGGCTTTTGGTGGTCCTATTTGCGGGAAAGCCCTGGGCCGTTTTTTTTGCTCCCAGTCCGCCCAAGCCATGTATGAAGGCCCTGTCTATATTTCCTTGGTATAATAATATAACAACATACATTAACTCATATTGTGACATCGACCTTTTACATCAAAGTGTAGAAAATCACACAGGGAATATGTTTGCCTATTTTAATGGCGCTGACTGTTTTCCCATGTAGTTATATTAGATAGTACAAATACACATAAACACACACTGGCACCTTGAAACAAATGACAATTGTTACACAAGAAGTATATTGTACTCGACATAAGCTTTATGATGTGCAGTCATGGGCGCTATATTCTGGGAAGGGCCGTCGTTGCACCAATTAGACTTATACTTAGACTTTGGTGAAAAGATGTTTTTCACTAAACCATGGAAGGTGTCGCCTTTAGAGGGTGACAAGCCTGACACGTAACCTGATAGACTGTACCTATGAGCATGTGCGCACGACACGTCGTTCAATAGAACTGAAACTCTGTAATGAGCCCGCTGATTGGTTGATTGAGATAGCACGTGTGCATAATATTGTGTACTAGTGCCTATAACAACTGTTGTGGGATGTTACACATTGATATCCCAGTCTTATAGTGGAGGTTTGTTGTAATGAATTACATTGTTGTGAGAACATTTTTTTATTATTTAACTTATTTATATGTTAATGCATAGTATATGTTTATATAACTTATTTGAACATGTTCCTTGCATATGTGTCTGGACTAGTTTATATGATAATCTCTTGTAACCCTTATGTGTATATTGTGAGTCGCCAATGAATATGTTTATGTTCCGTTGTGTGTTTGGTCATGCGGTGAACAGAAGCCACAAAAGATGATGAAAGCATGTTTTGGCGACTTTAAGGAACGAGCTAAAACAAGATAATTATCATAAATATTATCTAACCAATATTTACAAACTCGAGTGGTAGACATTGAATTACAAAAACAGTATGGATGTTCTAGTTCTCATTGAAATTAACCAGAGATCATGTTAATTAGTATGGATATTATCTAATAGATTTCTATCAAAAGCGTACTATAGTGCACAACGAAGATGTGTGTGTCGAACTTCATTCCAATCCAAAAAGTGGACATTGAATCTTTAAACATTTGTCGTAAGAGGGTTCTTAGCGTGGGCAATGAAATTTAATCTCTAGTAATACTAATAATTTTCCGAATTATAGGCATATTATGCAAAAAATAGCGAAAAGCCAGTCGCCGAGTTCCTTGATTAGTCAATCGATATACTGTTTGAGTCAGAACTCCCATCATTCATTACATACTTTGCAATCATTACATACTTTGCAATCACTTGTTTAAACTGGTAGCGATCTCCTTGTCAACAGTTTAGCATATATATATGACAATCATTCTTTGTTTCAGCACCAGCAGAGTTCACTTGGTTTCACTTTAATTTTTTTGATAGATGATGATGACTGTATTGTATTACCCAATAGTAAACTTTAAGTGTTAATTTCTTGCCCAAGGAATGGTGGTCATGGCCATAGTATGCAAATTTGAATATCAACTACTAGACTGGTTAAACCACTCTGTGCATGAAAAACATAACTCACCATGAACCACACTCATGTGGAACTTCTTCTCCTACTTCGAACATTTCTCCATTACGTTCACATGGCAAATCTGCTAAGTACACACACTCGCCATCTTTCTCAACAAACATCTCTGGACATCTACACCCAGGAACACATGACTGGTCATTGCATTCAATTCCTTCTCTCAATGTATCTGCCGTCACCTGACACGCTGAACCGCATTCTGTATATATCATGCCCGATGGGCATTCGACGCCTAAGAAGAATTATAACAGTGATAACATACTATATTATTTTTTAGGATTAAATTGTATGTCATTATTTGGTTTGGAAATGAATGTCGATAATGTATAATGATAGTCTTTGTGTGTCACTTCACTCTTGTATCTCAACAACCAACTAATGTTAAAATAATCTTTATTACCATGGGAATCATGAACTGCTGTATATTCGTAGACTGTTCAGCATGTTTTGGAAAGTTATAGATCTTCTTTTCCGCATGATTTTGTTTATTCTATGTATATTCTTACTTAACTGTGTCCATGTTGCTACGTGGAATCGTAAGTATGTGATGCATATAATGTAATAATATAGAGAATTTGTTTGCAAAGTTTCCAATGCAGGTCAATGGGTATACGGAAACAGTGATTTTATTCTGTTCTATATATACTCCATGACATATTTACACAGTAACGTATGAATGTCTCTATCACATCGCTTTGTGAAATCACAGAGCGTATGTACATAGGTATTGTAGTACATTCAAAACACGAGTTTTTGTGTAATTCACATTAACAACATTCAACAACATACTATACATCTATAAAGCCTACTAAAATGATTAAACATTGTTTTGATGAAGTTATTTATAACTAGAATTTGTTTAATGGCATTAATTTAAGGAATGTTTAATGACATTTGAAAACAAAAATAGTTCCAATAGTTCCATGGTCGTATATATTATATCAAAGATACATCTTAATCGTACAATTAATTGACATTGTTGCTGGAGTAACATGTATTTTAAGTGTACCATTACGGTAACAGAGATTATGTTGAATCATAACAGATGTTGTGTAAAGTAATGCTAGATGAAAATGTGCCTTGAGACCGAAGCGCTTTACCACACTTATGTCCTTACTATACTTACAACTGCTAGTATTTTTGCTGAAACTACGACCAAACAAATAACCAAGTATTTTGTATATAAGATTAAAAATGCAGATCTACTGTACATCTACACAAGTGTTCTCTAGATTGTTCTGTATTAAAGCATTAAAGTTCGTAGAAAATATTTTAAGACATCAGCCTTATTTCATATTTTCTACGTTAACTCGTCGACTAAACTGAACTTTCGCTACGGTTTGGATTAAATATTAAATTATCTGAAATTGTTACTATAATTAATTAACAATTATGAAATTGCAGTACGGTAAACTCAGTTCACTGAAGAATATTCATGTTACAAATTAGGCATTAGGCAGGTTTCAGATAAAGTGTTCAATTAGAAACCCTATATTATCAAAAGTTAAGAGCAACCGTCACACCATCAAGGTATAGATGCAGGCTTGTGAACACTAACAGCTCTGAAAAATTTTTGCCATATTTAATATTTCGAAGATCTTCAACTTATATAACATATTAAAACACAATTTAAAGTACAAAAATGTTTTTTTTAGTTGGCGATGGAGTTTCAAACACGACTTGCCCCCAGATTTCACGCTCATTTGATTTTCAATTGTCACAGTATGTGGGTGATTTGTTTCTTTAAAAAAGAACATCCAGTTTTTCAGGTCAAATTTGACAGACACTTGATAAGTCGTTATAACTCTAATTGTTATTTGTAGTAAATCACAGTTACAATTCTTTAATATTACATCACATGCACAGGCTTGTAATTTATGCAAAACTGTTGAAAGTATTTCACGGTATTGTCACCAACACTTACCACATGGTATTATCTCCTGTCGCCAACCAATCAGTGGGACCCCTTTATCTGCACATTGCTGGGCATAATCAGCAAAAATGACGCAATGACAATCGGTCTGTTGACAGCTACATACATCAAATTTGCAGTTCTCGTAGTAATGTTGAGGGTTCACAAACATATGGCATTCTGGGAAATGAGGTAATACATTATATGATAAGTTGGGTTATAATAATACAAAAATGATTGAATTTATCGTTATCCAATATATATATATACTGGATATGAACACAGTATGACACGATATGAATAATAATAATAATAATAATAATTTAAATCTAATAGTAAATCCGCGGAATAAAGGATAAAAATTGTCCACACTATGCGATGTATACCCACGTGTAAAAATTGGATCGTTCAACAACTTGATACACGTTTCCTCAGCAGTGCTTGCATGCTGTGAAAATATTTCACATGGATGTGGTACTTCATCTACCGGTACATCTCTGCATCCTGGGTTAGTTTTATACTTATTAGCGAAAGCTATAGAACTGGTTTCAATATCACCTATAAATAGAAATTATGTGCATGTATTATTAATAGTTCAATTACACGTGTTTTTATTGGTTCATATCGAACATGCTCTCGCATAAGAAATTGTTATGAAAGAAAGAAGTATATGTGTTTGGTTATGTAGTCTGTTGCAGATAACATGTTATTTGCGTTACTAATTATACATAGTCAATTCTATATTCTACATATTTAAAATTAAAATGTTTTACCACGCAAAACATTTTATTGAATCCTAAATTTATGTGTTTTACCCCAATAAATGATAATTGATATTGATATAAGAAAGATGTGGAATGAACAAACATATATTGGTTGGTAAAATTCTGATAAATGTCAATTAAATTATACAGTCGTCTGTGAATATGATTCGTGCATTCAGACAAACGTATCTGTTTTTCAAAATGTTTGTTTTCTTCTTTTCTACAAACTGGTGAATAGTTGGGTGTTTTGCTAGAGTTGTAGTGTACTATATAATTATTAGGTAACTAAGAACATTCCCAGCACCTGGCTGTGTCTTTAAGTGGATGAAACAAAGAAATATGCAAATTAGCTGTCAGATAATGATGGCGAGTAAATTGTGTTTTACAAGATTTTAGAGGCAAATTTGACATTCTGATCAAACATTGCAAAACGTACTTTTGAAAACCAAATACAGCAGAATATCCGAAATAGTAAGCCAGTGAAAGGTTTTGGAAAAATCAATGTCCAAAGGTACATTTCGTAGATAATTCTGGGTAATATATAGCGCTGTTTTTTTTTGTGTTTTTTTTTTCTATGAAGTGCCATACTTAATCATTGAGAACAATACCGTTACAATACAATAACATACCTTGCATGGTGAGGAAGTCATCATTTTGGTTGTCGTTGAATGTGCCGCACAGACCGCATGTTTTATTGAAATGATCCGGAGTTACCGTGATGTATACACGATTTTTTCCATCCCAGACTACTTTGATTCCATTCGCCAAAGTCACCTGTAAACAATTTTATATTATGTAGTTCGGTCACAATTCTTGTAAACGTTGTTTTAATTGTTCAGCTAGCTTAATTTTGGGAACCATAAATTACGTCTTCGCAAATTAAAATTATAAACCGCCAAAGAACACAAAAACAGACCATTTATATGAGCCTCATTAAACCCCGAAAAGAGCAATTTCGAGTTTTAACCCTTCGTTATTTCAAATTAGACGTAATTATGGAATGCGATTCTGTTATATATTCATGTACATCAAGGTTTAGCCATGATCCCAAATAAATTGGATGTGATTAAGTTAAGTGCCTGTGATCGAAATATTTATATGACGCAAGTCTATATATAACCAAGGTAAAATTCATATATCATTGGTCGATATGTTTCACAGCTAGCAAAATCGACTGCGGTGATACATTCCTCTGCATCTTGCCAATTTAATTATATGACCGTGATCGACATACATTCCATGTCATCTGGCCATATTGACCACCAGCCAAAGCTGGGTCAGCTTGCAATGTTTTGGGAAATCAGAATACGAAATGTCATTGAAAATACCATCATTGAAAACATTTTAATTTCATTTTTGTTTGTGTGTTTTGGCTCTTCTCAAAACATTGGCAGTTGTGACATTATATATCATACTATAGGGACAGGTGAAATTAATTAAATGAGTCTTCAATGGAATAATTATTATTCATTTCAATTACCTTCCCATAATGCACTGCATCTAACTGATAAGTAGTATAATCCGGCAAACGTGATGAAACATGAGTAACGTTTAAGCTAATCTCATATGTTTGCATATCAGATAGACCCAATTGCGTTCATGCACGGGAGGAAACAGTGGTTAGCACGGGCTGCGCCGTGAATGCCCAAACTTATATACAAAAATCTTCAGTCATTTTAACTAGGATTACTCAGTACAGTAACTAGAAATGTATAGTTAATTCTACGCTTATGAAACAATACCAAAGCAAATTCAGAAAGTGCAGATTGCAGAAAAACAGGAAGTAGCACATAGTCCCATCGTCTGTTTATTTTTTCTCAAGAACAATGTCCCTAGATGTGCTTGTGTTGATTGTCATGTCGGAAATAGTATTCGGAAATGAATAATTATGAATATAATATTAAATCGACCAAATAAATAGAATGGCATTTTGTGCACTTAACCTGAGGTAAGCGTTCACGCACACTTTGTTAGCCCGTGCTAAGGAGCTGTGTGTGAACGCTAAGTGTAATCATTCTTAGGCATGCAAATAATTATACCTTTATAATCATAGATGTCACTCTCTCAATGTACACATCACCGTATCGGAATGGAAACTTCTCCATGTCATCACCATTGACGTTAACAGAGCCTCCGCGCTTCAAAAACACGAGAGTATTGCCGATATCGATGAGCACAGCCCGAGTACACGTGAACCCATCTGTTACTCCGCATTCCACGTTTTTACCCATAATATGATAATCGCTGCTTTCATCAAAACAATTCTTAACTAAAGTGTAGGTGCAATGACCCATGAAGTCGAATAGAGTCCCATCGAATGTTCTATAATGTGGGTCGCCCGTTGCAGAACAGGTAGCTACAATAAGAGTACGTTAATTGTCGTTAAATGCAACTTCATATAATAAACTATGTTGAATCTCAAATTGTCTGTATGGTTAATTGATCGTAATTGCATATAATCTAACCATAACCAAAACGTGGTGGTGATGTTATCAAATATGGTAACTTACCATCACATATGTTTTCCGTGCAATGACTCCAATGTCCTTCAACGCATTCACTGTCGTGAATGAAATTGAATAAACAAACATATTAATGAAAATACATATATTAAATATATTAATATTAAACAATATTATGAAGGTGTCCACGTTGTTTCATATAAAAATAATACAAATACACATTCGTTCCGGACCAGTCAGAAGGCGTGATAATGTGATTTTCCCATCGGTTTGTCACGTAATTATACCGCATGCCCGGGTTAACAATACAACTCGAAAATATAAATGACTGATATCGAGAGAATATTTGGTACGTATGGTAACAATGGGAGTTACGTATATCAAAAAACACCAGGTCGACTCACGGATATTTACTGTAGTTACGTTAAAACTATGGCTGCACTGGTGTAGTTTTCAGTATTTTATATAAATGTTCATCGATCGTGTGCACCATTAGTTTTATTAGTTTGCGTGCCGCCTTTTTATTTAATTTTCTGTGAATTGGTTATTTTGGATCGTCTGAAATACCGTCATACATCATGTTATACCTCTTATTGTGTGATGACAGGTGTAACAGTGATTTGGCAGTACAGACTGATAATTATGCTGTAAGGATAGGGGTCACATTTAATTGTCAACCTACCATTCATTACAGTCCTGTCGTAACATTGCACCGGGTGAATATTCTACACCATTGAAATAACAAGGACAGCTATCCCCCATTATACATTCACCATTATGTAGATATTTACCATCGGGACAGTGACAGCCATCTAAACATTCGTCTACGTCACATTCGCCTTGACCACGTGATTGACATGTCTGGGGACAAGCCGCCCCGCAGTAAGAATATATCATGTCATTAGAACATTGGGCAGCTACAAACAAAACAAAACAAAAAAAGCTAAAAACACAAATTGGATACTTGAATGTCGATTTTAAAGTGTTATACTACTATGTTTATTAAGATGTTTATTAAGTATTTGTTCCACTTACGACATAAATCGTCGTTTCGCCAGTCTATAATCACTCCTAGACGTGCACACTCGCGTGCATATGCTGCAAGTGCTGTACACATACATGCTGGTCCTCCTATTTGGGGAATAACAGAAGAACTTCGATTCTCAACATCTTCAATATCAACAGCGCCACCACAAGAGCACATATCTTCCATGCATGCTGTAATATATGGTGTGACGGGAACAGTCTACCAATAGAGGAAATGTTAATATTATAAACTATTGAAGTCTGAAGAGAATATACCCGGGTTCAAAGGGGAACATCCTAGGGTAACATTTTCTAAGAAAAAGGCCTCACCTAAGGGCGATCATGCACTCAAGGCCTGTAGTTTCCATTTTCCCAAATGTTTCCAGTAATAGTTAACAAACGGGTTTGTACAACCATATTAGTTTACTGCATCACCTACCAGAAAATTTTGTTAGGCAGAATAGCACAGTCACTGGAGGTGGGGAAGCTCCAACGGCTGAAATGCACATTTTTCAACACAAAAAGGCAGAAATGGTAAAAAAAATGAGAGAAATCTAAAACTACTCGCCAACAAGGAGTCTTGTCTTGTTCTGGGTGGGTCCACAAACACTGTCTGACCCGTCACCACCGGTCCCAACCTGTAGAGATCCTCCTCCAAAGGTCTCTCAGGTAATAGTTAATGAAGACATTCTGAGATCTCCAGAACCCCACTCCGAGCACCTGCTCGAGCGAGGCACCAGACATCAAAGACAAAAAGTTGGCTACTCTGCCCACTTCGTGTTCTCTTACATGGTGATGTTCCAAACTGGTCGTTGAAGAAGCTGTTAAGTTGTATGCTTCCACGACTGTATCAACAATCCACCGTGAAATTGTGATATTTGAGGCAGGGCTGTTTTGCTTTCCCCGCCCATAACAGACAAACATGCTCTTCTCGCTGCCCCAAGACACCTTGGTGCGATCAAAGTACCAGCTCAGAATCAGAGATGAAAAAAGGCAAGGTATGGGTTCAGATAAACCGATGACCGGTAGAGCAGCTGAGTCATCTGTATTAACACATCCTGGTGAAGACGTATGGCGTCATGCACAAACCCAAAGGGAGGGTGGTAAACTTTGCCCTCTAAAGGGAATCTGAGATACCAGCTGCAAGAGTGGTGAATGTGGAAATATGCATTGCTCTAGGTACTGCAAAAGCAGAGAGTCACACACAGTGAAACCTAGGCACAGTAATAGTACAGACTCAAACACAGTGAAACCTAGGCACTGTAATATTAGAGAGTCAAACACAGTGAAAACTAGGCACTGTAATAGTAGAGAGTCAAACACAGTGAAACCTAGGCACTGTAATAGTAAATAATCAAATATGACAGGCACATAGGAAAGCTTTGTTCGTATATTGCGCACCAGTTATATACAAGCACCTTCTTAAACAGATATGTCTGTCGATTGTGAATATGAAAACAAACCCTACAAGATGCGCAATACATCGCCTAATATCTTGAAGTAATTAATTAGGGATCTCACAATCAAAAGTGGTTTACTAGTAGGTTTATCAGAAACGTTCCCACGTTGATGCGCCATAAATAATACATTATTTTCGTGATGGAATTAAAATCAATGGTGACTACTCTTGCAAGCTGACGCACGGGAGATGCTTCAAGATTGAATCTAATCAAGTATTACTGTCTGTCCATTTTCTCTTGCAAATAGGACACATTCACTTTTCAAATTGCATTGATATGCAACGTTGGCATTGGTGACACATTCGCGTTTCAGATGGCATTGATATGAAACGTAGGCATTGATGACACATTCACTTTT